AAAAAAAAAAAAAAAAAAAAAAAGTCTTTCAAATTTTTACGTGCACATTACAATGTCTAAGAACTGAATATTATTACATATTGCTTGTGTCAGTTTTAGAACATGAATACACTGTTTAACCCATTTTTATGTTGCTCCCAAAGAGAAAACATAACATGAGACAGTTATTCAAGGGCAAGTTTATAGATTTCAAAGCATTTCATCAGGGAGTGAACTTGTATTATTCAAATGTAAATTTATGATCTGGTAAAAGCTGAACTTGGTTCATGGGAAGAGGAAGATAGAAGGGTTGATGGCATTTTATGCAAGTTTCCACACTTGCGGGAATCTCCACTCTGCGGTACCCTCTGGAGCCCACAGAACCAGCAGAGGCACTGAGTGACTTTGTTCTGGACTATCTTTTCGAGGACCTTTGTGTGACTACAATGTTGGATGATTGAAATAATAAGTTTTCTCATTGACCATTGTAAAAGATTTGTGTTCCCTAAACTGAGGGTTAGACTCCATTGTGTTTGAATGTATCAATTGCATTGTCCTGTAAAAATCAGGGCTTGAGGAACTGGTTCAAGAAAATGCTTCTGGCTACTGCTATTGTTGCAAGTAATAAAGCCATTTGTCTTTGCCCTTGGAGTCTTCTGACAGCATCCATGAAATTGGGTTGCAAGTAGAGTAAAATCCTAGGCCCTTCACAGTTCTTGACAGTTATAGTGACAAGGACAGAGTGCTGACAGAGTCATGATTTTCTGGATCCTATAGCCTCAGCTATTCCAAACATTAGAACTACCTAAATCCATTGCACTGGCTGATGGCACTTAGTATGTTATCTTTCCAACGTCTTTTTTCTACCCCACTGGCACTCAAGGTCCAAGGCCAATTTTTATTCCCACGGCGAGGCCTCCAGTAAGTTCACAGTGCTTCCTCAATACCTGAGCTCCCCTGCAATCTGCCATAGGACCTAGTGTGAGTGGCTTTACTTTCTGTTGTTCAAAGTTGTTATTATACTGACGATGCCCCGTTAGTTGGTGAGTCAGAAGATCAGCCTGCAGGAGTGGGTAAATAAACTGACAGAATTGAGGGGCAATCTGGGCAAATTCTCTCTAGCTGTCAAGGAAAAAACTGCTGCTTTTTCGTCTCAACCTCAAAAACAGGTCCAGTACCATACTGGACTCTAAATACTGGAGAAAATACAGTCTTACTTGGACGTTTGACTCGGTCTTTATTGTCAGCTAGTGCACAAACCAGCATCCATAAAATGAGGTCCAAATCAACAGGCTATGTTGGAAGCTCTCGGCAAGCCGTGGCACGCTCTCTACGTCTGCAGCCACAACATTAGTGAGTCCTCTGAACCAAAAGCCTTTATGAGTAAGAGAGGCTGACTGGAACCTCTGGCAAAGGGAGGCAGCCTCCACCCCAAGTCCCCTGAAGCCAAACCCCGGGCTCAATGGGATCCTCAATTCACAGAGGTTTACACTAAATGCCTGGACTTGCTTCACTAATGATTTCGCTAAACTGAAACCAAGTGTGTCCTCTGGGATGTTGATTCTGTTTGTTCTCAGTTCCAGCTCTGCAGAACTGAAAATGGATGTGGTTCCTCCATTCCGGGGGCAGAAGTCAAGGCTGTTCGCACAGCTCTGGCCAGTATGCTTCCTGGATCTCAGGAATGGACTGGCTTTCTGTGCTTTTATATCCCTGCCATTACTCCTTCCACTGTTAGCATCCTGTCAATTTGGCTCACAGAAATAGTAATTTTATTCTACACTTCTATACTTTATTCTTGTAAAAATAAAGACTTTTGATTACTCTTGCTCCCAAACTAGCAATCTACTTCTGACCCTCTTCCCAGAATCAATACTCTTGAAAGACGTAATAGTTGTAACAGTAACAATAAAGAATAGTTTAATGAAAAATTATAAACTAGGTGGTTGGAGGGTATGGATAGATAGTTTATATTCATTTCATTTAGATTGAAACAGAAACCTACGAAGTGGGCACTATCATCCTTACTTCCTAGGAGAAAAAACAGAACCTAGTTCTGTCCGAGGGTGAAGTCTATGCGCATAAGCACTGCGCGAAACTCCTGCGCCACTTCCTTACCACTCACCTACCCTTTAACCTTTCAAATTGTGGTCCCCAAACTACCGGCATCAGCATTACCTGGGGAGACTTGTTAGAAAGACACATTCTTGGGCCTCAACCCAAGAATTCGAAACTGCCTACAGTGGGGTACTGTGATCTGTGTTTCTTGTGTGAGTTTGACACATCGAGTTTGAAAGCCACTATCTATATGTCAAAACGTCAAATGATTTCAAGTGCTTAAAATAAGTAAAGTGAGCCAGGTGCAAGAAATATTTAGGAAGAGATGGATGGTCCTTGGAAAAAACGAGAGCCCATGCCCTGTCTAATAAGAGCAGTCTCTAGTCATTTCCACGCATTTTTGTTGCAATGAAAAACCCAAACCTAACGTCGCCAGATGTTTAAAATTTTCAAGAGAATTTGCAAGTCTGAACTTTTATGTGAACTACCTTGAATTTTAAATGTTGACAAAAAAGTATATATATTTTTTAAAAACCATATGAGCTAACACAGAGTAGATCAAACGAAATATAAGCTTAGGCTGGAGCCTGCGTAGGGCAGCCAGTCTGTGCGTTTAGTTTCGGCCTCAGAACCCGACCATTTCTTCCCTGAATACCGACCTATGACTTTCTTTTCAGGCTCTGAGCGCTGCCATTTCTTCCCTGAATAGCGGCCACCCTCCTAAACTCACCGAGGCTCTCCTGGTCCTCGCTGGCTGCCTCTTCCTTCCTTCCAGCGTTTAACATCATTAACTACTTCCTCCCCTGGAAACTGTTATCTCTGCATTCAGAAGCGCATCTCCCCAGTTGACGCCCTATCTTTAGGGTGACTGATGGCTCTTCCTTTCAATTCTTCTTCCCCTTTTTAGCACCTGAGCTCAGCTGTTTTTCCAAGATTCCTTTCCTGGACCCTCACTCCAAGACTCTCAAATCTACAGAATCTGTCCCCTTATTTCTAGTCTTACATTTTCAATTACTTCCTTGTATTGCCTCTAAAAATCACATTGGTACCTCAAATCTGTTTGATCTAAATGGAATCATTTCCTCTTCAGAACCCACATCTACTCCTGCGTACCCCATTTCTGTCACTACCCAATGTTTTAAGGACTACATACATGCCTCCCTTCTCCACAAAGACTATACTAATCCTGTTTTTCCAGTTAGATGGAGCGCTGTCATGTCTGATGCCCTAGGGATATATACTTTTCCTTTACATTCTTAACAATGATTAATACAACTGTTTTTTTATAGAATAACTTAGAATATAAACAACAGGAAAAATGAATTTAGCATTATTTTTGTCTTATCTACTCAAGTAGATTTTAAGCTCCTTGAAGGCAATTGGTATCCTTCACGTGCCTGAACAAAATAAATGTGCATACATAATTACTAAATTACTTAATTACACTGTTCACACAGGTGTATTCTACATTACACAATGTCCTGACAAATATTTACCAACTTTACTTTAAATCGATCCATCTTATTTATATATATTATATATATATATAGAAAAGTTTTCTACTTAAAAGAATCTTTAGCAAATGTTTTTTAAATCTGTAACTCTTCTTGTAAGATAAATAAGCACTCACCTGATTTAAGTGTTTTATAGTTTTATTTGTCTTTTTAACTTATTTTATTTGTTTATTTATTTATACGATTTTGCTCAAACCTGGAATTTTTTTCTTTGAAAATGAATGTTAGTATTGGTGAGCATCGTGCACAAAATCTGTGTCAAGAACCAAAAGCCTTATAAACTCCCAAAAGTAAGTCAAAGTTGCTCTGTGACACCAGCCACTGAAAGCACTGACCCCTCCCATCCTCTGTGACTGAACTGGATAGATTAGCCAGAGGCATATCCCAGTTGTACTCTGGAGTCATCCAATCCTGTTAATATTTCCCAGCTTTTATATTTATAAAGCACCTAGTTTTACTTCACTTTGTAATATCTTCAGATATAAGAAACATTGCCCACTACAGGACTGTGAGGTTGAATGCTTTTTCATGTCATAGGAAACAACATGCTGCTTGCTTTGTAGATTGTAGCTCAGCTTTACAAACTAATGCATTTAAACTATAACTGTTTCCTTTTGCAAAGAGAAAACTCCATTATTATGTATACCTTGAGGATAAAGGCCTCAGGATTTCTTTAGAAGCGGAAGGGAGAAACAAACTAGGCATTCCCTAAGAGCTCAAGAGGAGAGAGTATCAGTTTTCAAGAAAGGTCCTCAGCCTGTTTATTGATTTAACAAATATTCATCAAATTCTATTACACATGGTCCATAAACAACAGAAACAACAAAATTAATGTGAAAAAGAAAATAATATGTATACAAACGTCACTGTAAAATCAGGTAGAAGGCTATGAGCATCATAAAAAGTGGGGACAAAGTGCTCTGGAAACTCAAAAAGGGATCAATTCAACAAACATTTCAATAACACTC